ACAGAGGGAGCCGGTAGTTTTTCCTATTTTTAGAGAAGATTCCAGGCTTACTGCTTCAGTAAACTTTCAGAGCCTCATGCAAGTTAAAACCAAGGCTGGCTTAGTGCGGAGAGAATGAACACACCCCAGACCAGGGCTTCAGTATTAAGTGTGTTCTGGCTGTTGTTGCCCCAAGCAATCCCTCACAATGGCACATAGACAAGAACACTTTTACACTTTTAAGGCGTGACCCCACTTCTCTAAGCAGACCTGGCTGCATGTCAATCAAAACTGAAACCATAAGATAACTCTTAGGGCAATGTGCTTATTCTAGGGACACCTCATCCTATGCCAATACCTCACAGTACACGGTGAACCTAACTTTACTTCTTCTAATCCTGCCTTGTTTCTGTGAAAGAGCCTTCACTTTAGAGTTAGCTCATTCTTGCAACATTTCAGGGAGACCAGTGTGCATGTCCATTAATTTAAATTAAAATTTATTTATTATTATTGTGTCTCTGTGTGGGTGGAGGTCAGTAGACAACTCTGGAGTGGGTTCTTTTCTTGAACCTTTACATGGGTTCTGGGAACTCAGATCTCCAGGCTTGAAGAGCAAGTGCCTTTATCTCAAGAATCATGTCATTTTTCTCTTCAGCCCTGTCACTTTTCTATCTATCTATCTATCTATCTATCTATCTATCTATCTATCTATCCATTCATTTATCAATCCATACATCCATCCACCCACCCATCTATCTATTGGCTTTTCAAGATAGGGTTTCTCTGTGTAACAGTCCTAACTCTCCTAGAACTCACTCTGTAAACCATGCTGGTCTTGAACTCACAGAGCCTGCCTCCCAAGTGCTGGAATTAAAGACATGCGCCACCACCTCCCAGCCTCCTTGTCATGAAAAACCAAATTTATAAGTGTTTCCTTTCCTTGACTTTTATAACCTATCGTGTAAAAATCCTGACTTGACTTCTTAGGGTCCAAGAGCTGAGTCGTGATCTAATGCAGTGCAGGGACCTCTGCGCTTACAGTCCACTGGTCAGAATCTGTCCAGCTTCATTTTCAGTCCTGATTTTTCCTTGCCTGAGCTTCTCTGAGTGGTTCTGGAGCATGCACACATAGAGAATGCACACACTGCACACATATCTATCCAATAGTGCTGCTCTATCCTTTGTAGGAATGTATCTTCATTAGCGACTCCCAGATTCTAATTCTATTTTAGTTTTGTCCCTATAAGATGTTGGAATTCTTGAAAACTGACTATCACAGCTTCTGTTCAAAAAGTATGTTTTGCCTAGCTTTCCTCCCCTGACCCAATTTTTAGAGTACCGGCCTCTTTATTCTATGGCAGTTACCTCACTGGCTCCCAAGACACTTTCAGCCTTGCTGCAAAGATACCTGTTTCTCCTGGGCCCTGACCCAGTGTACTCTCAAGCTCCCTCACAGCCCAGCCCCCCTAGGATATGGTAAATTGTATAACTCTTCCCTCTCTGGTTTGTTTCAGGGCAGTTGACAGGTCTGGATGGGAAACACTGCCAAATGGTGTACTGAAAGAAACAAGCACACAGTTTTCTCCAAGGTATGTGAGGTCTCTATCATTAATCTTCACAACCCATAGTAGGAGACTATGGGCAAGTTCTCTCATGCCAGCTGTTTGGAGTTGTGGGGATGGGGCAGGCCTGAGTGGTGCAGGGTGGTGGAAAGAGTGTGAATCCGAGAAGCAAAAACCTAGAACTCCTGAGCTTCCTGCCAGTTGCAAACTCAGTTCTGAAAACTGCCACGCAGGCTGCAGCCTGCACAAAGGCAGGCTTGACTTTGGCGGGCCAGCTTCACTTTTCACAGATTGCTATTCATATATGGGTGTCCATATGCTCCCTCCGATGAGCCCAGCACACCAAGCCAGACAAGTTTCAGGCCTGCGGGGAAAGAGTGTTTGAATGGTCTCAGCTACAGCTCTTCTCTTGCACAAATGTTCTGACTATACCATGACATTCTTCTCCAGGCCAATGTGGATAGACTGTGTGCTTGGCTGGCATCTTCTCTGGACCCTCATCCTCACAGATGCTGAGTGTTGGGGCCAAGAGGTGGTTATCAGCACAGGCTCTGACACCAGCTTAGTGCATACAGCTGACATGGTTCTGCCTTTACCTTTGGCCTTTTCTTTGTTTATTGTTTTTTATTGTTTTGGTTTTTATATTTGAGACAGAGTTTCACTCTGCAGGTAGCTCTGGCTACTCTGGAACTGATTGTATAGCCCAGGCTGACCTCAAACTCTCCATCCTTCTGCCTCAGCCTCCCAAGGGCAGGGATTACATGTGTGCGCCACCACATCTGCCTGTCTTTGTCTTGTTGGCATTCATTCCCTTCCTTAAAAAGCAGCTTGACCACACACAGAGCTTAGTAAGTGCTATTGAATACAGCAGATGACTGCTTATAGAAAAATATCTGTGATGCAACAGTGGAAATATAAGACAGTGGCATTGGTAAGAAAATCAAAATATAACCCCTCTCTGCAGCTTGGCTCTCTTCCTTCCAAGATGGTATCCAACACCTCTATGGCCCAGTTTAAGTCGATATAGTGTGTCAGGATGGGTTTATTTTTCATGTGTTCATCAAGGTCTAGCCTCAAGAACCCGAATTACTGGGCTGGAGAAATGGCTCAGCAGTTAAGAGCACTGACTGCTCTTACAGAGATCCTGAGTTCAATTCCCAGGACCACATGGTGGCTCACAACCATCTGTAATGGGATCGGATACCCTTTTCTGATGTGTCTGAAGACAGTTACATAAACGTGAACTCATATACATAAAATAAATAATTCTAAAAACAAAGGAGAATCCAAATAACTGTTGTAAATAGGCTCCCATCTGTCTAGAAATTAAAAAAATAAAAAATGCTGAAAAGTAAAAATCTGTTTGTGCAATGACTAACTTGTGCTAAAGACGAAGAGTTAATTAATGCCCAGAGAACACTCAAGGGATGTTTTAGATGACTCACTCAGCCATAATACCTCTAAAGATATGCCCCTGCAACTCACCAGTGTACAGACCAGAAAGCATTGTTTCACAATGTTAACTGGGACCACTCACCTACAAACTTCTACCTGCCTTTGAATCCAGGTAGTGATCCCATAAAAATTACTCTCAAGTTCTGGAGGATGCACCAGTGGCCCCTGAATGGCCAGCTGAAAATGCTTGTGTCTGTGAACAAGCAGCACCACTGGATTTTACCATGAAAGGTGCTTCAAGCTCTCTGTGAATGTTTGGTCAGAAAAAAACCCTACCTGGATAAAGTGACAGGGATGATGTGTATGGATGTTATTGTGAAGTTCAGGTAAGACTGTAACTGTCAAGCTCTTGAGGGTCACAAAACATTCAACAGAGGAATCTGGATGTCACCACTACTGAAAGGACAGTGTGTAGGTGCTGTATGTGATATTTTTCAGCAGACTAGACTATTACATAACTCAAAATACCTACTCACTCCGCCAATGAGCACACCTGGGGGTTCCTTCTCCTTGCTCCTGAGCTACAGAGCTGATTAGTGTTGGTCGTTCCTCTTCTAACTTCTTGCTTTTGGGCCAGGACTTTCACACTTCTGTTATGAATTTCTCTTTGACAAGAACTGAAGGGTACATCACAACAACCTTAAAACACGATTGGGGTCCCTTTCTGTTTAGTGTTAGGGTAAACGGGGCATCATGAACTAGCTGGTGGAAGGTCCCGTGATTCGCACATCTTTCGTGTCTTCCATGCAGTGCCAAGTGACTTCCCTAATGGCCAAGGCGCCCAGACCTGGGTGTCTTCAATGGTTTCCCCAAGATATTTTCAGCTGCAAGGGAAAGGCCAAGAAAGCGAGGCAAACAAATGTCCTGGCAGGGAGACAGGGAAAGAGTACACAGGTAAGCAACCAGATGGTAAACTCCTGGCTTTGTCACCCAGAATTAAGATCCACCCCACCATGGCAGGGACTCCCTTCTGGCTCACCTGGGCATCCTTTAGTTTGGATGAAGTCATAAGCCTGTCAACCCCCTCCCCTTTAAGTCGACCAATCAGAAACGATGGGAGGAAGACAAGACTCACCCCACCACAGCCTAGAGGATCTGACAATCAGAGTCGGCACTCTTCTTCCTTTGTAACAGAGATCGCTGCTTGCTGTGCCTGAGATTCTTCCTGCCTTGTTCGTTCCTCAACAGCTGGGAAAACGAACCTAGTCAAGACTCCTACAAGGTACCAGTTAAGTACAGGTATCTGGGTTCGAAACCCTCAGCTGGGAATTTCTCACTTGTCCTGAACTGCACTTACCAAGAAAATCACCGCACAAAGGATTGTGGACGAGTGAAACGACCAAATTTCCTCTAAAAGGGGATGAAGATTCTACACTTTCTTGATTGGGCTATTTCGCGTTTGGAAGGGCGATATAGGAGACCCTTGTAGCCGCTGCTCATTCCTTCATATTCTAAGCGAGAACTGGGACAGAGGAAAAGCACGCAAGAAGGCACTCACGAGCGAAAAGGCAAACATTGGCGTGACCTTTCGCTATGGAAGTTAACTGACAACAGGAAGGAAGCTATTAACCTCGCTCCTCTCCTCCTCTCGCCCTGGTGACAGCCAGCAACTCCTCCTCCCAGGCCGAGACCTTGGAGTAAAAATGCAAAGGAGCGCCTGGCTGCCTCAACTCTGCGCTTCGATCCCAGGGGAGGAAGAGACAAGAGAGGAGGGCGCAGCCTGAAGCCAAGTTCAGTCTGTTTGTGACTCGAGCGTGATCGTCCAGAAGAGGTTCCCGGGACTCCAGCATCCTCCTTCTGGCTGCGAAAGGCAGATACCCCTTTGACAAGCTTGGTCACCCCCTCTCGCCCCAAGTTTGAGCGCGGTCCGCAGGTGGTGCAAGCGCCCCAGCTCTCCTGCGCCCCCTGCTGGCGAGAGAGGAAGGCGGCCGCGGCCGCGGAGCCTCCCTGGGCACAGCGCGGGGAGAGAGCTCCGGCGCCGAGAAGAAGCTGCGAGCTTCCCCGATGGTGCCGCCGCCTCCTCCGAGCCGGGGAGGAGCAGCCAAGGGGCAGCTGGGCAAGAGCCTGGGGCCGCTGCTGCTACTCCTGGCGCTGGGACACACGTGGACCTACCGAGAGGAACCCGAGGACCGCGACAGGTAAGGGCCACCTGCCCTAGAGGGAGGACGAGCTTGGTGCAATCAGGACTGGTTGGCAGGGTGCAGACGGTTTCAGGTGGCGGATCCACAGGTCCTTGTTCGCTCAGCCACTGGCAGAGAGTTTAGCTGTTCCAGGTGACTTTCATCTCTTGCGGGAACCGCCTCGGCGCTCCCAGCTGTGAGTCGGGACGCTGGATGCCCTCTGTCCCGCTTTCCTGCCGCTCTCCGTGTGGACTTATGTGGTTTTTCTTGTCGCTTGGTAGTGGGATCGCCCGGTGCCGGGACGCTGTCCTGTCTACTCCCGGACCAGTAGCAGTACGTGCGTCTGGACGCAGAGCCCAGCGCGTTCTGCTCTTCACTCTCCGCCAACCTTAACGGAGTTTCCTTTCCAACTTTCTTTTCTCCCTTAGAGAAGTGTGCTCGGAAAACAAGATCACCACAACCAAATACCCGTGTCTGAAGTCTTCGGGCGAGCTCACCACGTGCTTCAGGTAAAGCTGGGGCCCTGCGGAGTCTAGAGGGACAGGCGTTGCTTGTCAAGCAGGGCTTTGGAAGCGCGCTGATGGAGCCGGGGCTGTGTGTGCCGGAGTTCTGGGTGGTGCCGGGTAGTGCGAACATTTGTGCTCAAGGGCTTGGAGCAAAGCGAGCAACTGAGTTTGCAATCGGCGAGTGCCTGAGATCTGAGAACCTGTACCGTTCGGCGAAAAGCTTGCACGGTAGAGGTTGGAGTGAAAAAGTTTGCAAGTTGTTGAGAGCGGATTGGATTGTGGGTGTAAGCTTGGTGGAGAGGAATGGCTTCCTGCTCGTTTGCGTTTTGTTTTGAAAATACAGCAAGCAACAAGGAAATGCTTGGCACTTGGCTTGCTTTTGACCTTGTGTTGGGACAGAGTGTACCAATGTCGCGGTCTCTGTAGGCAAAATTGTAACCTAGAGGATTGTGGGTAGATGGCCTTGAGTGAAAACAAACGTCAAGATTGTTGAAACTCATGGTCTTTAAGAAAAGATCATGCATGGGTTTCCCTGGGAGAATGGCAAGCAGAGAGTTAAAACAGGTGGGTCCTATCCCCAAAGGAGAGGATCAAGGTCCCTTGTTTTTGGCCGTTTGGAGCTACCAATTGACTTGCTTTTTGAATCATTGAATTCTGGACTTCTGTTCCATTCTCCCACAGAATGGAGGTGGCACACATCCCTTAATGTTTGTTGCTTGGTCCGAGTTTTTAAGATGCTACGCAAGGCATCGGGTTAACACACTTAGAGCAGACTGAGAACCTACTCGGGTGCTACAAAATAAAACAAATCTCAGTGTGTCTTCAATGTGCCAACCAGCTAGTTACAACGCTTTCCGTTCAGAAAACTTTCTTCCTTATACTCAAGGTTCAGGTGTGAGGTGGTTTCCAGGGCAAGCCAATGGGATTTATGGAAATACCATCAGCTGTATTGTGCTTTTAGAGGAGCCATTGGCAACCAGGATGGATTGACAGTAGCTGCTTCACCTATGTGAACTCCAAAAGGGGGCTACCTGCTCCTGCACGTGGTGGTTGGGAACATTGAACAGTAGCTGAGATGTGAGGGACGTGTTCAAATGACAGATGGAGACTTTGGGAGGTGCACCGGGTGAGCAGGGTCATCCAGCTGGTGACATGGCTAGGTAGTACTGGCTGCAGTGTTACTTGCCTGGTTCTGGTCCTGCGTTTCATCCATGTGACCATGGCATTTCCTAGGACATGTTGTTTTCCTATCACTGCTGTATAAAGCTTCCAATTTAACCTGGAGTGTGTCCCTAAGATGGTTCGCTCATTTGTTCAGTTCCTAAAGGTCAGACGTCACATAAATCAGTGACAGTTACAGAACTTGTGTCAGGGTTTTAGAAACCATCAGGGCCTGATTATTCTATTTGTTACGCTCCATTGGCCAGTGTTTTCAGATTTCTTAAAGTAGTGTGGTACTTCGCTTACCCTATCTCATTCAGAGACATTAACACATGGGTCTTGGCACATGTGTTCACTAACCAGTTACTTGATGGAACTGCCTGTTGGACCTAGTGCTCTATCAAGGAAAAGAGTAAAGAGTTTTAATCTGTTTAACAGGAAGGGCTGTTTCAGCTCAAAAACAAAAAAATGACATCAGTCACTGAGTGTGCTAATAGTATTGATATTGTTTAGTTTTTTGAGACAGGACCTCATTGTACAATCCAGTCTAGTCTTGAACTCAAGGTCTTTCTGCCCATCCAAAGTGCTGGCATCAAGGTCTAAACCACTACTATGCATGGCATGACATACTTTATAAATTTATTAATTTTTTTGTGGAAGTCAAAAGTTCTGTGCATATTCTGTTAGCTTTTTTCTCCTTTTATTTTGCTGTTTGAGACAGGGTCTCACTCCATAGCTCAGGCTGGCCTCTAGTTTCCAATTCATGTTTGCTAGCCTCCTCTTCCAACCTCCCAGGTGTGTTGCCGCACTATGGCCAGACAATTTTATAATTAAAGTCATTTGGAAGTTTTCCTCACTTAGTTCTTGAGCTTCAAGAATGGCAGAGTGCTGTGGGATGCTGGGGTGTGGTCCTATAGTTCCTTTCTCTTTCAAGTCTTGCCAGCCTACTCTCATGGCATTACCTGGGCACTGGGTAGGCTCCTGGACTCCATTGCAGTCCCTTCAACTGGATCTGTGTCTTAATGAGATGTATGTTGAAGTCAGTGGAAAACCATGTCAAAAGCAGAGTCTTCAAACCACAGGCAGAGTGGTTCTCAATCTGTGGGTTGCAATCCCTTTGCCAAACCTCTATCTCCAAATACGATTTTTACATTATGATTCATAACAGTAGCCAAATGACACTTCTGAAGCAGCAGTGAAAATAATTTCACGGTTGGGGATCAGAGCATGAGGAACTGTATCAGAGTCACAGCATTGGGAAGATCGGAAACTACTGGTGCTGTGAACTTTTTTACTAGATCCTCGGGAGCATGGAGGCTTCCGAAGCTGAGCAAGCAGCTAGTGCTTCTCAGCTATCACCCTAAAAGGAGAGCCACTCCCCCAACCTGGAAAGCATACCCCGACTCTGGTTTCTCTCAAGCTATTAGCACGGTGGCACCTATGGGGGGAAATGGCTTCAGCACTGGGAAAATACCAGATGGCTAGTGAATGATTTTTAGCATATGAAAGGATTCAGAGCTTGCTGGAGGGATTTTTTTTTTTTCAAAAGGTCATTGCTGGCAAGGGGAGTAGATCTGAACCTATGCAAACCCGTGAACAGAGGGTGGAGATAAGCCCAATTCCTTGCTGTGAAATGTGAAGTGGGCTCACAGTCGTTTTTGTCCGCACAGCCTTGGGGTTTATGACTTCAGCTAAGCAGCTCGACCCTGTACTTTTAGCACTTGATTCCAGATATCAAATAACAATAGTTTTGAAGACTTACTCTGGACTTGGCACGACGCTGTAAACTTTGTTTACATTGTCTCTGATGCGCAGAGCCACCTGTAGCTTTTCTGTTCTCTCATTGTGCTGAGTGGGAACACCATAATCAGAGGTAAGGAGACTGTCATGCCCAAGCACTCACAGTTACACACACAACCTCCATGATTTAAATCCAGGTTTGTCTGACTTCTAAGTCCTCCTTCATTATCTCAGGGAACCCATAAGGTTGGGTGAATGTTCTAGATCCAGGGGTGGAAAAAGAAAGACTAAACTCAAACGGCTGAACATTTCTGACAGTCCAGGGGAATGCTAACACCCACAGTGATCTTGGTTCTCCTTTGGCGCTGCTGCCCTAAGGTCTGTTTCAGACAGTTGAATTTAAATGATCATATTATATATGAAACGGGTTCATGCACACGCAGCCCTCCTTCCTTTTAATACTTTACCTCAATCTTGGGTCCACATCTCTAGAGTTTTTGCTGCCAACATGCATACCGCCAAGCCACCAGAGTTTAAACACTCCTTGCATGAGTCCCAGTGACAGCTTAATGAGACTAAAGCTGACATTTGTCCAGCATTATAACCAGCATAGGACATTCTCTCACCAGTAGTTAAAATATCAGAGCCCGGGCGTGATTTATCTAAAGTAGGGATTCATGACAGCCAAGGCGAGCATATAAAACAGGCACAGATAGCCATTACGGCATTACCTCCCTAAAACTATCATTACTGTCTCTTCCGTCCACCCCTCCCATCTGCCACGAGGTGATTTTCCTTTTCCAAATCATGTACTTTATCTTTCTTTGATGGTGTTTTACATCAGTAAAATGACGTGTTAAAATGTACCTAAGTAGAAAGACAATCCAGCTTTTATTGGGTGAGGCTATGCCTAGCAAACATTAACTCTTTGGAATCTTTGGTCAAAGATTTACATATCTATTAAGAGCTTAGAGCCCTTCTAGAGGATATCAGCACATAAACAGAATAAAGTACAGATAGTCTAAGGGCTTGAGTTTGGACAAAAGCCTTTGTAACTGGAGCCTGTACACCGTGGCTATAGTAGAATTCGCATCTGTGTCCATCACACTGTATAAATGACAGGAAAGAGACAGGAGCTAGGAATGGTGTCTCAGGCAAGGGAAGCGTTGGCTTTGCTTCCCAAGGTGGCTCTTCTTTACCACAGACTGTCTTAGTGAGCTCAGTTGAGAAAACCACCTGTGATTTTGGTCTTAGTTCCTTCGTCTCTGAGCAGAGACTTGATACAGATGCTCTACCCCTCCCCCTGTCTACCCACTGTCCTCTCACTGGGGAGTTCTCCAGCCTAAGGTGGCTCAGGTTCCCATGGGAAAAAAATGACACAGGCTGCAGGAACTTGCACTTTCCTTCAAGATAGTACAGCCTTGTGGCCGTGTCGCCTGTGGGAATTTGGAGGTCTATGTGGTGTTTCTGCAGATGTGTTTACTTAGAGCGAGAGGGCCACTTAATTAGGCTAGTACCCAGGGATTGAGGTTTTGGCTGAAGGTCATCTCAGGGAAGGCTGCAGAGAGCGAGCCTTGTCCTGGCAGGTTGCCTATTGCTTTCCCCTTGAGGGCTTCGGTAATGTCAGAACACACAGGCTCACAAACTCCTTGCTCCTCTTTGAATCTCTAGTCCTTCATTTCTTTTGACCTTGAACCACTTCTTAAGATCCAGGCTTTCCTTTTCTCCTCTGGAATCTAAGGATCATATCAAGAATGTTTAGAGCTGCTGGGGGCTCTGTAAATGAGTTAGCTTGTGTGACGTGGTTTGAGAAGTTCCAAGATTTGAGGGAAGAGCTAGGTCAAACAATGTCACTTCCTGTCACCCCTGAACCTCAAGTGGGGTATGGGAGGGTAGCTTGCAGAAGTTGATTTCTTCATGTCCTGTAACCAAAATGCATGGTGTCTTCATCTATTGGTGCTTATTTTCAAATTCTGGAAGATAACCAGGAGCAGTGATAAGACTCTGTATTGTTCTGGGGTGTCCCTAGGATACTTCTGACCAACTGCTCTGGGGAAGTATTTCATACCTGGCAATGGGGTTTTATTTAGTAACCTATGGCTTCTGGTAGGACCCAGCATACATTCTAAAAAGTAAAACTAGACTTAGACACAGCAGTGGTGTTTCTGTACTGGTCAACATGCTTTGTTTCTAGATGCTTCTCCAAGCGTAGGGTAGCCCAGAAATCTAATGTCGTGAGGCATGACACTGAGCATCTTAGCCTCAGTGTCATCTGTATCAGATGTCATCACCCCCTGCTGACCACCGAAGGTTTTCTATTTATGACTACAGAGTGGTGGACAGCACAGCCAGGTTGAATTGGATGCTGACTCCAGTTTGAAAG